GCCAAGCGCATTTATTGCTTATGGAAACTTTATTGAATATGCCGTGAGTGATAAACATCGGCAATTAATTTCCCAGCACTTCACTCGCTCGAGGATTTGTCGCACATCTCAGAAGCTCAAGAGTCAAGTGAGCCAAGCGCCACTGGCTGACAATTATGAAAAGCTATTACTTTTATACGATCGGCAAATTAATAAAGCTTAAAGTGTTTGCCATATGACTTAATTAAATGATGAAAAATTGCACGGCGCCTGAATAATTGATGGGGCAACGTTTTTGTTATTTGTTGTTGGCGTGTGGCAAGTTTTATTTTGTGGCCACTTCGAATTGCATTGGCCAAATTGATGAGTCCCAACGACGAAGACCAAAACAGGTATAACTAACTCAAATGAATAACGCTAACATTTTGCCTAACATGCGTAAGTCTGTAAGTTATATATAAATAAAATCTGTGTATATAAGTGAACACCTTTAAAAAATAGTCACACTTAATGATAATATATTCCAAAGTGAAACATAATAGTACAATAACTAGATGTCATAAATTGTTCGCGTACGTTGCGAATTCCGTTTCCCATTTCCAGAAGAGTCTGTAAGGATAGGCTCTCACTTCGCCTGCACAACTCCATTATTTTTCATAAGCAATTTAGCATCGAGCACTTAAATGTACCCAATTTCCCTAACGATTTTCATGTGCGAAAACGGCAAATTATGTGAGGCCTCAAAATGATGATGGATCACCAATCGCACAACGCCATAAAACGGCAACAAGTCAATAAGAACAACAGCCGCAAAGGTTTATCCAACTCTGGCATATGGCAGGCATACACACACACACACATACGCACACCTCAGAGTCAATAGCGATATTTGTAGCCATTTTTTGCGCTTCCCAGGCCCCAAGAGGAGGATGACACAAAAAAGAACGAAACGTTTTGAGGTATTAACACAAAAGCGGCTTTGGCTTTTAGCTTGACCAGTTTGCCAATGCCTGCATATGCTATGGGCATGGATGAATAAATGTGTGCATGTATATGTATTTTTTATGGCGGATTTGTGTGATCCGCTGCAATATTTTGAGCCGGCCTGTGGCGGCAGCGGCGTCAGTTGCATTGTTTTGCCCGCACAAAATATAATAATAATAATAATAATAATAATATTGCTGGCCAGAGAGCTTGTTGCTGATGTAGTTGCCGCTGCCGCTGCTGCTGCTGCTGCGGGATGCTGCAACATGTTCATGCCTCATTATTTTTATACGGATTTTTGCGGTCCGTTGAGATTGGTCGGTCTCCTTGGACTTTTGGCTTCGGTTCTCATGCTGCTGCTGTTGTTGCAGCTTGTAAACTTTTTTGCGCCTCAAAATTTTACACAAAAAAACGACTGCAACAAAGCACAAAAAGTCGCCCAAAGTGCTCAAAAGTTTATTAAAATTCCAAGCGTAAATGGCAACAGCATTGAAAGGCCAAAAAAATACAGAAAGAAATAACCAAAGCCAACACATGTTTTCACGCCTACCCACAAAAACAACAACAACAAAAAAGAAACCTAAAAAACAGTCAAAAGCTGTCAGAGCAACCGCCTTATATGCAGATTAGCCATATGTGGCTCTCCCATCTGTCCCCTCGCTCAATCTGAGCCTGACTCCGTCTTGTGTCTCTCTGTCTCTGTCTCTGTCTCTCTCTCTCTCTCTCTCTCTCGCTCTCTCTCCCTTTCATTACATACGCATCATCAAAATATTCAAATTCAATTATTGTCAATTTTATTTATTATTAATGCGCATAATTGTCAAATTTGCCAAATTTATGAACGCAGTTAAAGAATCATATATATATATGCATGCATACATATTTTGTGTATATAAATACACAATCGTACAAATGGACTCTTGACTGGTTATTTCACATGCACCATACACACACACACACACGGTCTCTCCTCCTGGGCGACGCTCACGGAGTTTATGCAAATCCACATACGACGTCTGGACAAGATTTTGTGCGGCTTGCGCTCAATCCGCACGAATTTATGAGACATGTTGAAATGCATCTCACCTTGATTATGGGGCCGGCCTGTGGAGCCCCCAAAGTGCGGCCTGTGCGCCTTTTAGCCCCTAGCCCGCCGCTGAAGTGCACCCATTGCCCCACGTTTGTCTCAGTCACATATGATGATGTGCGTCTCGCAAGTTTGAAGATTAATGGCAACGCGTTTAATTTGTTTTTGGGTGTTCTTATGTTCTCCTCCACGGGCGACGGGTGACGGTCGACTGTCGACGAGCTCAAGGCTTAAACTAAAACTCAAAATGAAACTGAGACCGAGACTTAGACTGACACGGGCACTCGGGGTGAGTGGGTATGCATATTTCTTATGCACATCCAGTCGTGTAGTGTAATTCACTCACATTGACACGATACCTTAGAGGCGGGATGAGAGACGGGAGAAAGGAGACAGAAGACGTGAGTCTGCTGGCAGACTAGGCGGCTAGCTGCCTGTGGCTTACAAATATTGAACGAGGTCCAAGCTTGAGTTCAAAGAGGCAAAATGTCTAGTGTTAAATGTTCTGTTGTGGCCATTTGAATCTTTTTTGTTTAACAAATTGTACAATTTTCTAAATATTTTAATTTACTGGCGATTTCTGGCATAAAGGCCAATTATATTGCATGTTCGTATCGGGTCTAGGACCTGTTGTTCCACCCCAAGTTTTGTTATTTTGGCGATTTTTATATACTTTTTAAATTATTATATTCAACATATTAGTATGCAATTCATAAGCGTGTAATTGCGTTTAGCACACCAAACACAAAAAATAAATGTCTGCCGTTGATTTTTGACATCCAAATTGCAGCAGACAGAAGGCAAGGCGGACCCCACCGAGCAAGCTAGCAGAACAGAGCGGGGCAACAAGACATTGCCATTTGTATTTTCATATTCGTTTTTTATTTTTTATTTTAATAACACACTGAAAATGCTTTTTTAACAGCATGAAAATTATAACGCATCAGTCACGACACGGAGACAACAACGAGGTTTCTCGCTGCTGTTGCCCCCTATCTACCTTTCCTACTCTCTTACTCTCTTGCTTCTCTCACTCTTTACTGGTGAAAATCTTTGAACAAGAAATTGCAAAACATTTCTGCCAAACGTTTTGCTTCTTTTTAGCTCTGCGCTGGGCGGCCATGTTGTAGGGCAAGGAAAACTCGGACGGGAAAAACGACTGCAAAAGTTTTGTGTAACAACAAAATGGTTTATTAAGAAAGGAAATGAGGCGTTTGTCAGCAGACGAAAAAAAAAGAACAGCACGCAGACACACAAGCAATCCAAACCGAACAAAATAAAAAATAAATCTTTGAAAATATCAGCTTTTCGGCTTTATAATATGCAAATTACAGTTAATAACATGAACCAGCCGCTGCATAAATTACAAAAAAACAAAATAAAGCCTCTATGCTGATAAAAACAGAAAGAAAACATATGAGAATATTAGACAAAAATCAATGACCTGCCCGGTTAAAAGACTCGAGCACTCGGCGACTGCTCAGCAACTGTCTAATAATAATGAAATATTTCCCAAAAAGATGCCCCGAGCTCTTGGCCACAAAGGCTTTGTAAGACATGGTTGTCAATGTGGCGGTTCCTGTTGTTGTTGTTGTTGTAATTTATGTTGCCCGACGCCGCCATACTAATTTCAAATTTAAATCTTTCGCTGTGACCTTTCATGCCTACCATCCATATCGAGATGTATGTAGATGTACGTACAAGCATGTGTATATATATTAGAGTGTATTTTTCTTAATTTCGAAAGCGTATTAAATTACCCACACAAACACACATACGCGGAGAGAAAGAGAGAGTGCGAGAAAGAGAAAGAGACGCTGCACGCTCCTCAACGGTTCTGTAGCTGCCAACGAGCCCGCCCCCGCCCCTGCCGCAGAGTCGAAACAAGAATTTCAAGTATGTTTAACCCAAAACACAACACAACAAAACTAAGAACCGAATCGAACAGAGTAACCGAAACTCTGTCTTCGGTTCTGTTATTCTGGGTCTCAGTCTCAGTCTCGGTCCCGGTCCCGGTCACAGTCTTGTTCTTGTTCTTGTTGGTCTCCCTGGCATGCCCAGGGCCGGGGCTTAAAGTATTTCACAGGAAATCTTCGGAAACGAAACCCAAGCAACGCAACAATATGTTCTACACATTTCTTATTTCTTTCATTTTTTCGGGCTGCTCGCTCCGTTTGCTCCGCTGTGTGAGAAATCGAAATCCCAAAAACTAAATCCCTATAATGCCTTTAAGGGGGGCAGAGACTGGCAGGCAAAGACCCGAACACACACGCACACAGCACTCACTCACGCACGGCTACATTTCGATATGTGCGTGTGTCTTTTGGTATTTTATTTTATTTTTATTTATATACATATATATATATATATATATATATATATATATATATATATATATATACATGTGTGTGTTTTTTTTTGTGTACCCCTCTGCTTCGCGTCCCCCCAGAGTCATAGTCGGAGTAAGAGTCAGAAGGGCCCGAGCGTGCGCACAGTCTATAATAATGATAAGATGGCTCTTAATCAGAAAATGTATATGGCCCCAGCATTTAGTTGTTGTTGCAGCCTTTGGTCTCCGGCTGCTGCTGCTGCTGCTGCTGCTGATGCTGATGATGGGTTATGCCCGTTTATAATTATGGGTCCTGTCAAATGCTAAATGAAGGGCGCATCAAAAGGCAGCCAGCAAGTCGCAAGCCATACAATTTTCAGTTTAGAGAGCGTTACGCTATGTTGCAGATTGTTGTGTTCTTTTTTCTTTTTTTTTTTTTTTTGTTCGAGTTGTTTTTTGTTGTTTGTTGGCGGTCGGTTTGTTGGAGATCGCACTCTTGGCCATTTTGCAGCATTCCCAGCTGGGCGTGAGTCTGGACAGGGCCCTTCTCATTGGTGGACGCTTGCCCTCGCATGTGGCACATAAGTAGATATATAATAATGTTTTAAAGAGAAAGCTTACCGCTTGCGCTCGTTCCGAAATTGTCTGCAAAGGAAACAAGAGATGAAAGGAGAGAGGTTAGTCAAGAATTCACATATTTCGACATATACATATTTTATGAACTGCACACAGGGATCTTAACGCCCACCTTTCACTCTAATTTAATTAACGCCACCAGCAACAAACTTCTACAAAATTTGGCCATAGCACGGTCTCGACAAACACAGATGAATTATCTTCCTCAACAAGTTCAATTCGCTGGCATTCAAAAATTTCTCAGACCTCAAAGCTCGAACCACAATAAATCTTTTCGTATTTTTTGTGACCCAGGCTTGCATCACAGTTCGCTTGCGGGCTAACCAAAAAAAAACCAAAGCTACAAAAAAATCAAATGTTTTAAATTTTCGTGCAGACTTTGACCGCAGAATGTTTTTTGTGTTGCTGCTATAAAAATATGATATATATTCACACACTCTCGCACGCATTGTGCAGCGGAGCGGAGGGACCCCGGCAATCAATCAAAAAACTATGGAACCTCCGGTATCAGCCCGAAGTGTGAACCGAAAATATTTGGAGCAAATCAAATGCAGCAAATTGGAATAAAGAAAAGAAAAAAAAAACAAGGAAAATAAATAAATAAAAATAAAACAATGCTTGCCGCTTTAAGCTGTATACTCATATGTATACAAAATTTAATTTAATTTTCTGTTTGGTTTTTATTTGTTATTTATTTTTTGATATTTGCTGCATTTTCACACGCAAATCAAAAGATGGTTTTTATAGCTTTGCTCTGCTTTTACGCAAAGTTTATAATCATTTTAAGCCCAGGGCATTATGCAAATTTGATGCGTTGTTACCCAAATCCGGAGTCAATCTTGTATCTCATCTGCCCTTCTGTTACTTTTTTCTTATTTTTGCTTCGAGTTAAGCTCGCATAAAATATTCGTGTAGCTTTAGAATTAACCTAAACGAGACCATTGGCCATTTGCCATTCCTTGTACTCTTTATGGCCCAGAGGCCGGGGTTAGCCACCTAGGCACAGAGTCCAGGGGCTCCGAGTATGTGCACGGAAATGCCAAAAACAGACGCAAGATACAACACACATGTATCTATGTACATAATAGCTAAGCAGCTGAAGGCTGCCTCGCCAGATATGCGTGATATTTATCTAGGCAGCTGATTGAGTTCGAGAGCTCATTCTGGGCCAGGCTGGGGCTCAAACTTGTGGCCTTCATACTTTAGCAGTCATTTAGCCACTTTGTAATAACATGGCTAAGAGTATTTTGTGAACCGAAGGCTGGACTTTTGTTACAGCTCCGTTGCATTCGTCTGGCATTCGCATCTTCGCATCTCTGCATCTCCGCATCTCTGTGTTTCTGACTCTCCTCACATCCTCACACATCGTCGTCGTCTGCGTTCGTTGTCATTTAAGTCATCGAACACGCATTGCTACATTGTACATTGTACACATGTACAATGTTCAATGGTGTCGCGCTGGTGGTGCGGATCGGTGTCGATGTCAGTGTCCTGCAGCGGCCATTGCTGTCGAGCCAACAGTCCATTGCCAGTGTCCAGAGTCGCTGGCCTGGCCGGCAGTTCATAAATAATCGTCTTAAGTTGATGCGGTGCCCGTCGGCGGTCGCTGGGTGGTTCGTGGTTCTCACCAAGGCCTCCAGGCATTGCGACAGATTAAGCCCGACTTGCCATCAGTTCCAGCTCGCGGCTCACTCACACATTGCACTTTTTTGTGTCGGGGCAACAAAAAAGTATCTTTCGGATTGTAGATGTTGCTGTTTTTGTTGTTGTTGTTCTTGTTGTTGTTGTTGCTGTTGTTACAGCCGCAGCCAAACGCATTAAAGAAAGCAACGCAAAGCGCTCCGAAGCCGCTCAAATATTCCGAAAACGTTTCAATGAATGTCGCCGACGCAGTGCCTCAATTTTTGTCACTGTGCCCCCTCTTTCTCTCTCCCTCTCTCTCTCTCTTTCTCTCTCTCTCTCTCTGGCTGTACAACAACAAGTCGTGTCTGATCCCATTTTAATATTCTAGATACTTAAATAAAATACGTGTCTGGCTTGGCCAACAAACGTTTATTGTTTGTTAATTGATTTTGCTGGAAGTTGTCGCCGACTGTTAAAATGCAAAGTGCAACTTCGACAAACTTTGCGGAGCGCAAAAAAAAAAAACAACAGAAAGACAGAAAAGCAGCACCAGCAACAACAAATAGCATTTGGTATGCAAAATTTGTTTGGCCCGTCGACTTGGACAACTTGTGGGTCTGGGCTTAGACTGCGGCCTCTTGCTGCCTCTTGCTCCCGCTGCCGGCTGCTGCCTGCTGGTTTCTGGTCTTCACTTTTCGTACTCTGGCCTGGGCGCAATTAATTTGCAGACGGCGAAGCTGAAGCTCAGCCTTGAGGCTGCCAGCAGTTGACAATTGTCAAGGACTGCGTCAACTTGGCGGCGACTCACAGTTTGACAGCTCTGGGAACGAGGTGGAGGTGGATGTGGAGGTGATGGCGGTTGCTAAAGCGAAGAGGGATGGGGAGGAGGAGGCAGAGGGGGAGTAGTAGCGGGCTGGCGACTTGGGTCATTTAACGGTAATTACCAAAGCGCGACAGAAAAGTTTCTGCGAAAAACGTGTGGAGTGGAAAAGCGCTCGGCTCAAGTGCCGACAAAGCGGCCAAGTGAAGCATAAAAATGAAGCACCCAAAAAAAAAAAAAAAAAAAAAAACTAGGCAAAACAAACCCCGTAGAAAAAGCAACGGACGAGCACAGACCACACGATTTTCCAATGCCCGCCAAAGAGTAACAGAGTCAAGCGCGACTCCAAGTCTATTTATGTGGCTATTGAAGTGGGCCTCGTCGCTCGGCTCCACTTCAAACCACACCACACCACAGCACACCACTCCACTACACTCCACTCCACTCGAGTCCAAGTGGTTTGGTTTTGGCGGCTTGGGCTTTGATTTTTGCTTGATTTCTTTCAAAATCAAGCCAACACACACACACATGCAGCACAGAGGGCAAGGAGATGGAGAACGAGGCGGAGTTCCAGTCGAAATAGAGTTGCAGATGCACAGAACCCAGAACATAGAAACCCTCCTCTGCCCGGGCTGCTGCTGCGGCTGCTGCTGCTGCTGCTGTAGCTGTTGCTCAGTGACTGTGACGCCATTTTCAGGTAACAGACAGAGCGTATGCAAAAGAGCCAGAAACACAGCCAAAAACGTAGACAGGGCCCAGGCCAAGAACATGTCCAAAGGCGAACCGCCAAAAGGATAATCAGCAACAATTTAGTATTATTACACCACGTTCGAAGCCATCGAAGTCTAAGCCCCGCAAAGCTGCAGCGCACACAAAGTTGTCTGTCAGTTTTTTAAAGCCACAGCCACAGCCACAGCCACAGCTTTAGCCATAGCCATAGCCACGGGGCCAAAGTCGAGGCTGGGGCTGAGGCTGAGGCTGAGGCGCAGCTCAAGTATGCATTTCAAAGAAAATCATTATTATCGATGCGGCAAAGGAGGCAGCGCGACGCGGATGTGGATGTGGCTGTGAATGTGGATGTGGATGTGGAGCTGAAGCTAAGCCTGAAGAGACGACAGACTGAAGAAGACTAGAGACTGGAGACGACGGACAACTCGGCGGACGGCAGGTTGAGCCGCAAGTTCATTCCTTTTGGGTATTTTCACGTGGACGTAGATTGAGTTTCAATGGAAAAATGATTTGCAAATTGACTTTAACGAATTGCTCGAGTGAGCAACCTGCTGGCACTTGGAATTTTGATTACAGCATAGACATAAAGACAGAGGGAAATACTGCGAAGCGGCAAGGGAAAAAGAAGCAGTGGATGTGTGTGTATTAGAAGAAAGCTGCATGTAATTGGCACGCATTGCCGACCTGAGCTCCGCCCCATGGATTACCTCAGAAAGAGCCTGTCCAACTACACTATGCAACAAAATGCCGCACATATTTTAACGAGCATGTTTAATTCGAATATTTGTATATTATTCTCATTCAAAATAAAAACATGTTTTTAAATATATCTTCAACTAGACTATGCATTTAGGCGTTGCTCAGCCGAGACTTAAGTGAATTGTTTATATTATAGACTTTGCTTTCGTGCATCATAAACCTCAAGAGTTGGCTGGTATAAGGCCAGTAATTGGAAACAAACAATGACATCCCGTGCCAAAAACAGCTGTTGCATAGTGTAATGCGATGCGTTTAGATCCACGCTGGGCCATTTCATGGCATTGGCTGATGCGAAAGTCTGCTTCTGATCCTGATCCATTGGCTGCCCGGCTGCCACATGACTATGAACGCCATTATCAGCTTCATGGCCATAGATTCTGCTGTGGCTGTTGCTGCTGTTGCTGCTGCTGTGGCCATTGCCAGTTGGCCAGTTGGCGAATGGCAGGCGGAGCAGTTGGCCAACTGGCTGAGCCTACTCGACTGCCTTTGTTTGGCATTTTTGCGGCCTGTGGCAAGTTCGTATATCATTATAGAAATTACCTACTGCGCCAGGCCGTGAGGCAGCGGCCATTGTTAGTAGTTTGCCATTAACGTTAACTCTTTGGCACAATCTGGCCAACAGATCTCTCTGGTGCCGGCGATAGCATAGCAAAAAACAACAAAGCAATCGCAAAAAAAAAACCTCAAACAGGAAAAAACAATGCCACACCACTATCATGCGGCAGGTTTCTGTTTAACTACCTACCAAAAAAAACCAAAAAAAAAAAACAAAACGAGAAAGCAGAAAAAAAAAACTGGAATTGATATTGTAAATCAATGAAATCTAATGGAAACATTGACGTCAGTTGGTCGCTGGGTCATAAGACTGATAAAGTGGCCAACAAGAGGTGAGCCGAGTTTGATAAAGAATAAATCTGCTACTTACCAGGACTACCAAGGAAGACTGAGGAATACAGTCGCCGCGAGGCGTCTGCATTGCGAGCATCGGCAGGTGAGGACCATTCTCTTCGACACCATCGTCCTGAAAGAGTTAGAAAAGCCGCTTATTAGTTTATCAAATCAAACAATAGAAAATTCTGCTCTGAGTAATCATAGCATATATCAATTCTCAAGCTCTTGAGTTCTTAAGCTATGTAACTGGCCGCTCAAAGCCCCAAACTCAACTCGATGCGACTCGACTCGACTCGACTCGACTGACTGTCGCAGGCGATTTGTAACACTTGTCAACTTCAAGATTTGCACAATATTGACAGTATGTTAAATAAGTTAAGCCAGCATAGACACACTCGCACACACTCGCACACACTCGCACACACTCTAATACTTGGCGAGCAGCTTTCGTCAGGCGACATTGACTGACAGTTGCGCAAGTGGAACGCTCCAAGCTCGCACCCACAACTATCTAAAGCTCACGACTGCCAACACCCCTCCCCTAATGCCACCCCCTCCAGGCCCACGCTCGCCGGCTTATGGCCACTTTAGGCGCATAAAACTTTAAATGAAATACGCAGTGCCTAAAAAGTGGACAACAAGAAAATAAGAAGAAGAGGAATGAAAATGGCGCCAATAATAATTTGGTTTATTGGCTCTAAAGCACAATGAAGACACTGGGCCAAGTGGTTGGGCGTTGCCAGCACAGGGGCTGGCTACCCCCGCCCCCCGCCCCCTGGCAGCTGGCAGCGACTTCTATTATTTTTTGTTGTTTTTGTTGTTGTTGTTGTTGCTGCTCAGTGAGGGCGACGCACCTTTATTTAAATTCAAGCTTGGCCAGTGCAACAACAGCAACAAGGCGTCTGCCTCGTTTTCTTAATGGGCAATTTTCTTGGTAGTAATGGGCACGTTTTATGGACGCTTTTGTGGGGTGTTTATCGTGCACACAAGGGGACACCCCACCAGCTGCCTGGCGCTTTTCAAATGCAGTCGAGGGTTGACAATTTGGCTGGGCTTAGTTTAAAAGAAAAATCATCAAAATATTAATGGCATATTAGATGACACAGCTGTCGCACCTGTTTAATCAAAAATGCGCTCGAAAATAATCAAATGAATAAATGAACAAAAAATAAAAGAAAATAAACACAAAAGAAAACAAATTAATTGAGTCGAGCAAGAGCGGAGACAAAAGCCCAAATTGTTCGCACATAAATCTTAGCACTAAAAATTTTATTGTCGTTTTTATAGTTAAAAAATAAAATATAAAAAAAAAAATAAATAAAACGGCGGCCACGGCAGAAACTACTCAACGGCAGCCCGAGCCAAACAGTCTGGGCTGAAGCGCTCTCAGAGAGCGGCACACTCACACACACTCTCAAACATATACAACACAGCTACAAGCGATTTCCCCGTCGTCGTATCGTAAGCGTATCGTAAGTTGAGCGCACTGGCTGCTTATATCGTAAGAAGGCAGCGCCATTGCTTAGCTGCTGATATTGCAGCTGTCGCGCTTGTGCGAGCGAGATGGCACTAGTCAAATACTGACGGGTGTACAGGCATGTGTGCGTGAGCAAAGCGAATTGAAGGCGAATTGAGTTGCGAGACGCAGCGACCAGTCAATATAAAGGTTTCTTCTTCTTCTTTTTCTTGTTGTTGTTGTTGTTGTTGTAGCTGTTGCTGTTGGCGCTTTGTTTGTAGACGCCAAAGCCAAGTTAATGATTTTGTAGTTGTTGTTGTTGCTGTTGCTGCTGCTGCTGCTGCTCATTATGCAATGTTAAATCAATAAATTGACAAAAAATGCGCGCGCCAAAGCAAAGCCCTAACATTTTACTCAAATAGTTTTATAGTTTTCGTGATTGTTGTTGTTGTAGTTGTTGTCGTTTTGCTCACTTTGTAGACAACACGAATTTATGACATTTTAAATAACCGGCGCGTTATAGTCACAATTTGGAAAAGCGAAAAACATTTATTGTTTCGCCTTCGGCAGCCCCATTTTCCGTCGCTATTTATAGTGCAACTATTTTGAGTGTCAGCCCCCTCTCCCTCCCCGCCGTCTTGACACCACGGCACCCGCTCTTAAGTGCTGATAAATGGCGCTAGACTCTTTTGGGCTGCCTTTGATTAGAGACGATGAGAAAATGACAAACATCCAAATGCACTGCGTTCTTATCGCCAGGCACAAAGTTCAAATGCAGCTCAAACAACAACAGCGAGTGGCACACACACACACACACACACGCAAACACACACATGCTGGCACAACGAATTTTCCATTTGGACATTTAGAAATAGAAGCCACCCCAGACAACAACAACAACAACAACAACAATTGAACCCCAAATACCATCGTCTGTTCTGTATCTGTATCTATGCTGTCTCTATATATATATATATATATATACATATATACGTGTGTGTGTGTGTGTGTTTAGATAAAATTGTGTTTCGAAAGTGACAGTTGAAATGATTTATCACTTGCCAGCGACTACTGCAAGGCGCAAGCGGCTACCCCCTCCATCCTCCCCTCCAGCCATCAGGCCCGTACCCTCCGTCACCCCCTCTTCACACCCGCCACCCGCCACCCACCAACCACCGCACGCTGCTTTTGCTGTCTGTCGTCAAAGTTTTTAGCAGCGTTGCTTCGACGCTCGCATTTTTGTGTAGAAAAATTGAAAATGTTTTTTTTCTCTTCGTTTAGAACAGAGTGTACCCCTATTGCTGGCCCTGCCCCCGCTCTCGATCGCGCGCCCGGCCACAGCACGGGCCCATCGTGGCACAACATTGTTGCTATCACAATCAACTTCATCTTTCCAATTTTCTACTATTTGGCTTTGTTTCCCCAGCGCCCCCCTCCCGGCACTCACATTGTTGTTGCTCCGACTTTTTCATATGAAAATTTAATTCCAGCCCCAAACATGGCCCACCCAGTCGCCCCCATTTCCATTTCATTCCTTATATTTCTCTTTCTGTGTGCGAGTGTGTGTGCGTGTGTGTGTGTGTGCGCTGCGAGCTAATTTAAAAATTTTTGTAATTTTTTCGCCTTGCTCTTTTGGAATTTTTGCAATGCGCGACAAAATGATTTATGTCGCTGCCTGCGCAAAATTAAAAATATTACAAAGCAACAACAACAGCCACCAAATGACAAAAATACAACAATGTTCACATTTAAATAACACACAAAACGAATACAAAATATGTGAAAAGAAAATAACGAAAACAACATGTGTGTGCGTGTGTGTGTGTGTGTGTCTCTTTAAACTTTAAATGAAAATGTTGCAGTGAAAATATTTGTTGGCTTTTCCAATTTTATGCCCAACAATTTCCAATGACGGCGGCGCGAAATGAAAAAATAAAAGAAAACCGCAGCAATTTTTCATCATTTTGCACGTGTAAATTTTCCAATTGGTTGAGCGCGTGAAATGCGACCAAAGTGGCCAAAAGAGCGTAGATTGAGAGGGTAGCACGGCTGGTTGCCAGTGGGCGTGGCCAGCACAAATTTACTTAGCAATCGAACAAAGCCTTCTACAGGTGTCCAAATAAAGGAAATACTCCTGCTAAATGATAATAAAGGCTCATAAAGGGTGATTGGGCAAAGGCGTGAGGGGGTGTCAGGCAGAGGCCGGCTCGAAGGGCACGAAGTCTGTTGCTATCTCTTGGTATCTGCTGCATTTGCCGGCGGCTGGCCGCAAGGGCCCCGGCCTTGCCCAGACTGGGAGCCATTAAATTGGATCTCGACTGCGGGCTGTAGATGTAAAAATGGGTTATGCGAGACAACAAGCCCGACAAGCATATATCTTTGGGAGCGCTTTTGGCACGACTCTGGCATACCCTGTAGCCAGTGGCTATCGCGTGAAATTCCAAATAGTTTAAATTAATGATAGTTGATAAATTACTTTATATGCCGCCGCATTCAGTAAACTTCTGTTAACATTCGGCCAGGGCATAATGCTAAATAATTTATAAAATTTAAATCTTTCGATATATCACACAAATCAATTTACTAACTCATTTAATGTGAATGTTATATCTGAATATATTATATTTTATTTATCTTATTTTTATAAATACTACAATGGAGATGTTCCTGCATTCTCTCGCATGATCCCACATAAACTTTTTAAATTGCGCTTAAGTCCGCCAAAGCCCATTTCTCATTCTATCTCTGTTGCAGCTTATCTCTCTCTCTCTCACACACACACTCCCTCGTTTCCTTCCTCCCTCTCTCTCTCTCTCACACCAGTTCTTCATTTTACTTCTTGTTGTTTACTGCAAAGTTTTGCTGCTTTTTGTGTAATTTTTACATCCAGAAACGAATTTTATATGCAACTTTTTGTTGTTTCCAATATTTTAAGGACTAAAATGCAAAAGCCAATTTTTTCAGTTGTCTTTTTTATTGTGTATACCCCGTATGTAAAATGATTCAGCGGCTATTTTGAAGTTATGAGAACTAAATAAAGTTAAATGTGAATTTTAAAAAAATCGTAATATATATGCATATATATAGATGTATATATAATCTCCTGATTGGAGATTGGTGTCAACAAATAACTTCAACATAAAACTTTTTCAGTATTTATCCTTATATTGTAGGTCAGCTTTGTTGACTTAAATTGGAGAGATTTTGACAATTCTTCTTTTTCGGCATACTATTTATTTTCTAATCACTTCGAAATTTTCCTAACACTTTTTGTTTATAGGGTATTTGTTAGTGTACATGCTCCCGTCGTATATTCCACCTATGTTTTCGGTTTGGACGGAAGGTGGCGCTGCTGCAGCTGCTTTACGACTGTGCAAAAGCAACAACAACAGCGTCTGTTGTCTGCGTGGTGCCATTGTTGGTGCTGTTGGTGTTGTTGTCGATGTTGATGTTGTTGTTGTTGTTGTTGCTGTTGTTGCTGCTTGGTGGCATTTTCCGTTGCAGTTTTTACAACATTTTCCATGGCGACGTACGCTACATTTTTGTTAAATTCAAATGAAAAAAGCTTTTCGCGCATAGTTATCAAAATAATGGCAGACTTAAACGTGCACAGAGTGGGAAAGAGAGAGCAGAGAGAGAGAGAGAGAGAGAGAGAGAGAGGGAGAGGGAGTGGCAGAGATTGCGAGCTGCGAAGTGGGAGCGGGACAATTGCAGTTCAGTTGTTGAGTTCGTGTCTAATGCATTTAAAAATGCAAACATAAGCCCAAAAATGGATTAAAAAGCTTATACCATAGTATACAATATATATATATTATTTTATTTTAGTGTGTGTGCTATGGGCGTGGCGGCCTAACTGGCATATGGCAAAGCTTTTAAGCAATCTGATGTCGATTTTGATGCTGTTGCAAATTCAATAAAATTTCCAAAACGCAAAACAAACAAAATACAACAGAATACAGGAAAAATGCTGAACATGACTTGTAACTTAAGCATGGCAAAGTTTGTCACCAGCGCGACAAGGCTCTCCAGTGTTCCCGCTGCCTGACTTGCCAGCTCAGCCTCATTCTCATACACTACCGGCAGTCCGCCCCTCGACAGCCTGTCTGCCTGGCCGCTTGCCCGCCTGCCTGCGTGGCGACATATCGCTTTACACTTGAAATGAATTTGAAAGTCAGACGCACAGCTCGTAACTCTTCTCGCTCACACAAGACACACACGGCGAATAACAAGACAACACCAACAACAAGAAGAACAACAGCCACATCAGCATCATCAGCACTTGGAGTCGACGGAGGAGCCGGTGCCCAGGCCAGCGTTCCAGGTCTTTCTTTATCTGAATGCAGGCCCGCGCGACTAATATAAACGTACAATGGACCAACTTAAGCTGAAATGACAGTTGCGACATGTTTGCGTAGGCGTGTGCGATCTCTGGCCCAGCAACCACAGCAACAACAACAGCAACAACAACGTTGCGAGGCAAATGTTTTGGTATTAATTTTTCTTGTTGCCAGCCAGTTCGAAGCAGTCGCCGGTGCAGGCTGACAATAAACTTTATCGCATTCATGTGAATGCACTTTATGACACCTACACACAGGCAAGAGCAGCAGCAACAACAAAAACAACAACAGCAATAACAACAAGACTAACGTCAGCAACAACAAAACTTGTTTCTTTCTTTCGCCTGTCTGGCTAAGAATTCTTCATATATTATATACACTTATTTGCTGTTGCCTTTGGCATCAACTGATTTGGCTTAAATTAGCTACATTTGATGAGCTATTGCTGCTGGGAACCCATGCCCTTCCATGCCCTCCCATGTCCTCCCTTCCTCACGGCCTTACACTCCTGCGGTCAATAGCGACAGCCTCGTCGTCTGGCAGCCTCGTGACTTGTGCGGCTCACTCGTCCATTGCGTTGGTCACGTGACCCTAATAAATCACGGAATTAATGTTACGTAAAATGGAGTTGCGCACGGCGGCCAGTGCGAGTCCTTCAGCACACACAGGATACCCAGCCAAGTCAAGCCAAGCCGAACAGAACAATCCACGTTACAGTTAGAGTTCCAGTTCCAGTTTTACTTTTGCTTGAATGAACCAAACTGAAGAGTGTAGCGGAAACTGTGCCAGCCGGAAATTGAAAAACGTTTGCGGCATTCCTGATAAGCGACCAGACAAACAAATCGTGAAACTATATTAATGTAACGCACATACATACACACACACACACACATACAAATATTTTGATTGTGTGGCATACAAAGCTCTGCAGCTCATAGCTCAACTCAGCTCAGCTCAGCTCAGCTCAGCTTTTTATGGCTGCTGCTTAATTGTCTGACAATTTTTAATAACAGCGAAACACACATACACTCACACGCATGCAAGTGGGCATTTTACATCTCGCTCGCGCATTAAGACGCAGGCGCATTAACAGCCACAACTCCAACACCACCAACAACAATAACAACAACAACAACAACAACAACAACAACAGCAACAGCAACAAAAACAACAACAATAAGAATAACGTGTAGCAAGCGCCAACATTACGACCATTAAAAATACCCAAAACGACAACGACAATTTCCTCATTATCGTAAAATTTATTCAAGCAAAATAAATTCATTGGTCGTTAACCTTGACACTGGTTTTTCCTTTTTTACAGTCGCACACATACACTCGTTCTGTTTGTCTGTGTGAGTGCACACATAAAATTCATGCTATGATGCGTGTTAAATAGTCGCTGTCATTGCGTCTACAGCTTGGCAAATGTAAGTGCGTGTGCGAGTGCGTGTGTGTGTGTGTGTGTGCGTGTGTACCGTGCTATATAGACCTGAGTTTTTGACTAGACTTGGGTTCATAAAACTGGACTTTTAAAGCTGTCGCGCTGCAAAGCCGCCTCTTTAAAAGTATTCTCTTGTTGGGGGTTGGCGCTTACACTGTCCAGCAAATTGCCATTACTTGCACTTGAGCATGACGCGGCAGAGCTTAAACAAAGGCAGCAGCTGAGTAATTTTCGAGCCACCAATATATGTATATATTGTGCACATAAAGCATTATATAAATGTCACACACACACACATAGAAAAGAGTAATCCGCTTGTCGTCGCAAAGGGAACACACAAAAAGACGCCAGTAAGTATGCTACAATAATCGATAAGTGCGGCCTGCATGTGTGTGTGTGTGTATATTTGTGTAATGTTTGTTGCCTACTGCTTGACTGCACACACTCACTCACACACACACACATCCACACACAGACAGACTAAATTTGGTTGTGTGATTTGTTGTGGCAGCTCGCGGTCTTAAGTCGCAGCCGCGCAGCTCTTTTTGTTTTGAGGGTCTTCCAGGCCCCTCACTACTGGCATCTGGGGATATCTGGGAGCTGTTTGCCTATGGTGTTAATGTGTCTTGTTGCAAGTACCCTGCACTCGCAGGATTTTTGTAGGGGGTGTGTGTGACACCTTAGCATATTGCTGTGACTGGGTTTTGTCTGTCAATTAAATTAATGTGCTTGGTTTTCGGAGTTGCGCAAAACTTGTTGATTTACAAAGCGGAGCTCGGCTAGCACCTTTTTTCTTTTGATTTATGAAGTAGGCACGAGATTAGGTAATGAAATAAATGTCTTTCAAGTCAGTAGAAGAGCTTTTTTTTATATAGCTTTCCGCTGGCCAGTTAAAAGTTTAAACGAAACTATGGTCATTTTATTCGTTGAACATCTTTGGCCACATACATGAATGTGAAATGAAACAGTGCACAAAGTAAAAAAGAAGAGAAAACAACACACAAATAAATGCTAACCATATAATATGAAGAAACGCGTTTTTCATGCGCAGACCAAAAAAACTATGCAGCTGTGTGTGTGTGTGTGTGTGTGTGTGGGTTGAACTGTGTGTGGCAGCTGGCTGTGTGCGTATTGGCGAGAACTCTGACTACGACAGCGATAGCGACTCCTTCGCCTGCCTTCTCCAGCAGCGACTTGGACAACGCTGCTCGGCGCTTGCGGCTCTCCTCGTGTTGAGCTCAGCTCTAGCTCAAAGTTGAGTTGAGTTCAGTTGTCGTCATCATCGCCGTCCTCATCGTCGTTGTCGTGGCTGCCTTTTATATAAAACCGACAGCGCCTCGGTGGCTTCAGCCAAGGAAAATGCCACACACACACACACACACACACACACACACACAGCATTTACACTGCAGCAGCTCCCACTTTTCTATGTCCCTCTTTTTTCGTATTTTTTCTACACTTCTTTTTTTTCCAGTCAGCAGAAAAATTCTTATACACGGGCTGCGTGTTTGTGTTTTTTTTTTCTTCTTCCAGGCAACGTTTGGCGCTCGGCGCTCTCTTGGCGCCTGCTCCAGCAACGTCTGTGTGTTTGAGTATGTGTGTGTATGTGTGAGTGTGTGGAGCAGTCAGCTCACTTTTCTTTTGAATGATTCGATGATTTTAAGCGCCTGCGTTATATGAAAACCAATCGCATCAAAGCACCCCATTAAATTTCATCGTCAGGCATATATCCTTGCCGCAAATACACATACAGACACGCACACACTCACACACACATATATATACGCAGACAGCGAGATAAATGAACAGACAGAGGACATGGCATAGAAATAACAACAGCTGCTGCTGCTGCTGCTGGCACTGCTCCTCCTCTGGCTGCTGCTTGGGTGGCTCCATTCGTCCTGGCCACGTCTGCATCTGCAACATCGTCTGCGCCTTTCAATAGCAGACGAGCGCGGCCCAAGGCAATGTTGTTATGTGCCATGGAAATCCGTCAGTAGACGTTGCATCTGCTACACTCACTCACACACACACACACCACACACACCACATATACACCCACCAGTCGCCTGCATTGTCATCATTATGTGCTGACGGCGTAAATGGCTCTATCAGCGCATTGTGCCTGCGCCAGGCGCCGCCTTTTGGGAGCCTTGTATATGACATGTGGATATGGACGTGGATGTGCATGGACATGTGCAGCTGCGAGTCGAGTCGACTTTAAGGCCCTCATTGTTTGAGCTCTTCGGTAGTTTAAAGTGCTTTTAATGGCTTCATGCTAAGGCGCTGCCTTTTAAAACACACAAGTCATGCTCCAAGGGGGGCGGCGGACAGTATTTTATATAGAAACACACATACTTTCTATACATAGCTAGTCTATCACGAGCCCCGCCTCCAGACTTCAGCTCCCGCTGAATCTCCCACCAATCTTCGACTTTGGCTCCAGCTACAGCTACAGCTTCGGCTTTTGGTTTTGCTTTATTTGCAGTTCTCATCGTCGTAGTCGAAGTCGTTCTTTTTTTTTTCTTTTTTTTGTTTTGCTTTTTTTTCTGGCTAACATTTAATGGGTTTTTCAGAAAATTGCATTTTCTTCTTTGGCACTCTTTAGTCTCTTTGTTTAGCTGCTACTTTTCCAGCAAAGAGTCGCAGTTGCTGCTGCTGCTGCTGCTGCTGCTGCTCATGACCATGGCTGCCATATTAGATTTTGAATGCATTTCCGCTTTTTGCCGCAGCATGGAAACTTTTGTTCGCCATGTTGGCTGCTATTTTCCGAGGAGTCTCTGTATTGGCGCTTCTATCTCTATGAGTGTGTGTGAAAATATTCTCGACTGACTGACAGCTGTGCCAGGACGCGGGACGTAGAGTGTGCGCGCCTGTGTGTCTGTTAGTGTGTGTGTGGGTTTGCTCCTGCTTGCTTTCGGTTGGCTCTGCTCTCCCTGGCTGCATTAAAAGTTTGTTTCATTTTGCTTTAGTTTGTTGTTTTGTTTGATGAAAAAGTCCAAGTTGTTGCGCAAAGTTTTTATGCAAGTTTTGCTATTTTGGCAAATGGATATGCGCCAACACACGCCTCCACCGAAAACAGCCCCACCCCACCACTGCAGCGCAATCACATTGTTAGTGTTGTGGGTGCATGAATACGTAGAGTAGATTCGTTCCAGAGCTATATCAAAGTTGAACATGCTTGCGTGTGTATAGCTATACATATATATATATACGGCACTATATATACTGGCACTGTCTATGAATTTGTAGCTTGAGTTTGAGCTCGCTATCAATGCTGAAGTTTAATCAAACTTTAAGCCAAAACGAAGCAGCTGCTGGCTAATAAAAACCTGTCTAAACTTTACATGCAACTGCCACAAAAGTTGGCTTAAATGTGCTTAACTGCATACTTGGCCGGCGCTCACGCATACATTAACCACACACACACACACACATACACATAAATATGCCCCCTATACACCTTAGAGTTATGCATTCGCATACACAGTAAAAGCACTGCATACCTCAAGGCGTTGCCTGCCTCCTCTGACATTCGGACATCCTGGCTTTTTTGCCCTGCAGTTTTTGTTAGCATTCCGCGAATGTCAGTCTAAAAGGGCTGACTGCGGCCTTGACCACACCCAAAAAACGGAATTTTTACTATCGGAATAAAAGTCCACTTAAAGCTACTTTAAAATTCACAAAAAAAAAAAAAAAACGGTCGAATTATAAACAACAGCAATTCATTAGACAATTTTCTACTATTTTGCTGAGTGCCATTAAAATATTTGGTTACAGCCAGCGACCGGTTACTAATCCACTTAAACCTGGCTGTTGATTTTATAGCTAATCATAAAAGGCCGGAATGTGTGGCGTCTTTGGAAATTGATTATCGATGATCTGACAAATAAAACGAATGCAGCATTTAGCAGCCGTAAATCTTCAAGGACAGACAGCAGCCACGAGTCAATCATCGCTGATGATTTAACGATACCCAAAGCATTTAATTGCCGTTCGACAGATGACAACAATTTCTCTCTCTCTCTCTCTCTCTCTTTCTCTCTCTGTCTAATTCTGCTGCCTATTAACAGAGACAAACGAATGGAAGAACTTGTATCGTTTGCTTTTAACGAGAAGCCAAAGGTCGTCCAATTGATTTTATGTGACAATTTTCAACGCTCTGTTTACTTAGAGGTGGGGATGGAGTTGGCGTTGAAGCTTCGAGTTTGGAGTTGAAGCAATAACAAGTTTCAATTTCGTTGAATGCTCAGTCGAAGCCGAAGACACCTGCAGTGTAGGAGGAGTAGGCGGACCACTTTCGTGGCCTTTTTCAAATTGAAAACGTGTCCAACAGCAGTCATCAATTTTTAAACACGAGTAATCACTTTGTAAACGTTACAGAGACCAGGCCCACTCGTCCCAAGTAACTTGCCTACTCCTCTGGGGGTTGGCTTATCCAATGAACAAAACTGACTCTGAGCCCTGGGACACGCTCTGTCTGGCTGTACGTATTTGGTCTGACAAGAATGCCTCAAATTTCTCTATCGAGTGTTGCGACACGGGCCGGGCAGGGTCGCTTGATTTTCAAATTTCGGCACGTAACTACGCAAAGTTGCACACATTTTTATACAATTTGTTGCATGCATAATTCAGCAGGACAATCGCCAGGATTCGGGCGCATCAACTGAATATCAAGCGCATATTGTGGTGGATTTATGTTTTCGAGCCGGGGTAGACGTGGCTCCCAAATACACTTGGTCTTTTGGCAGCTTAAGCTCCCTTGCATATGCTATGGAATTATGATGAGTAGACCCCTGTGTGGGAAGTGGAGTGAATTGCCCGGGCGGTCAATTGTATTATTTATATGTTTCAAGTGCCATGTCTCAAGAGATGGATTCAATTTTGCCAAATGTCTAAGAACTAACTACAATTTGCCCGGAAACAGCTACCACGAAATATGAAAACGAGAACTTAATTTATGAAAAATCGATCATCTGCTTATTTATTTAATAGAGACTTTTTTACTAATACTAATAGACTTTCTGGCAGACAAATGAATTTAGGCTACATTTAAAATTGTATTGTTTAAAAAATCTCTTTAACATCTGTTCTACTTGCCAATTGCTTTACAAATGGATGACCCAAAGTGACCGAATACAAATAAAGAAACAGATAAACCGACAAAAACAAACTCGAGACATTCAAAAAACATTATGAGCATGTTAATCTATTGAAATAGGCGCCATCATTTGTCTATCAAATCGAGCGAAACTCATGGTATTCGCAATCTGAACTTTGAATACCCCAGGCCTGCCAACATTTAATTGATGTTTGGCCATTCGCGTTTTGTATTTCTACATTTTTGCAGTCGCACTAAGCTCAATACTGAAACCGAAACCGAAACCGAAACCAAATCCGACACTCGGAAAGCAACTCGTCGAGCAAATAAGCAAATTTATTAAATTCTCATTTATCAACATCATAAATCAAAGTTTTTAGCCGTGGTGCTCGGTTTTCAGCTTTTAGTTTTCAGTTTCAGTTTTGAATTTGTCAGCTGCGCGTAGAGCTACAACAACAACAACAACAACAACAACATCAACAATGGCAGCAAAACAATAAAAAATATATATGCTTCAAATGATCTATCAACAGTTGCCGTTTGGCGTTGATGTTTCTGGTTTTTGTGAATATTTTGATATTTTGATATTTTGTATTTTTTATGGCTCTCCGCTCGTCTCTTCGCTTTTATGACTAGTTAATTTTGCCTGTTTTTGATTTTGATTTGGCATTTTACTGTTGTTGCTGTCATTGCTGGCTGGCTTTTATTGGGCGCAATGAACTATAAAAACGCGCGAATGCCTCAAAATTGCACTGCACTTGACAACTTACTGATGGACGGACAGTCTAAGCGAACCATTGAATGAATGAATGACGCACACAGGCACACACAAATGCCCGCATTCGTATGTGCACATCATGTGTGTGTTTACGTATGAGTAAAACTCGCCAATCTATCAAAAACTGTGCCTCACTTTTCCTTTCAGCTTGACCTTTGCCAGCTGTCAAAATGGCCGTTGCAAGTGTCAAACGCTGCCGTTATTGTTGCTGTAGTTGGAGTTGCTTTTGACAGGCACCGGTCGTCAGTCGGCAAAAGTGCGAAAAATGATGTGCTCCCAGCAGAGGCAGCAGAGGCAGCGGGGCAGCAACAACAACAACAACACCAATGACAACAAAACGCGGCTTTGAACTACTAAATCATTTTTGACAGTTAGCGGCGCTGCGACTGCGACGCCGGGGAAAGCCCCAAGCAGCGCAGTCGACGTCAATGTGTGTGTGTGCATACTTTAACCATGACCTTGAACGCTATTACACGTACACACACTCACACACAGATACACACACACAGATACACATTGCTTTTGTTTATGCAATAAATTAAAAGCAATAATTTTTCATCTTGAGGCAGCCAACAGCAGCAACAGTTGAAAGTTCGCCCGCTGCGGCACAGCGCATTAATTTTGTGTAAAGTTTATACACCAATACCCACACACACACGCACACACACACACACGAATACACTTGTAAAGAGGGGAAGAGAGGGGAGCAGCCGCAGCAGCAAAAGTGATAAAGCACCGCCGCGACATTGGCAGCAACGTCGACGCCTGGGCAGACATTGTTTTTAACTCGCTGCGACTGCGTCGCCGTGTCTCGTTGTTGTTCTCTTTCTCTCTTACTCGCTCTCTCATTCAATACGCGCAAAAACAATAATTCAACTTGTGGCCGTGAGTATATGTGTGCGAGCGTATGACTGTGTGTGTGTGCCTGCTCCACATACGGGTAACTGTCGGGCACAGGTTCAATGCACGCTTTGCGCCTGCGCAGGGCAAACAAATTGCAAGCGACACACACAAGCACATCCAAACAAATGTTTTTTCCCTCTCTCTGTCACTCTCACACTCTCTTTGTCTTGCACTGTGCCATTAATTCTAGCGCTCGCCGGCTTGTTTGACAGTTCTGACAGACGATTATTTAAAGTTGTGCTTAAATGCGCTCTCTTTCTCTTTCTCTCTCTCTCTCTCTCTGTGTCTGTGTCTGTGTTTGTGTCTGGCCCTGGCCGTGGCCATTGCATTTGTTCATATTGTTGCTGTTAATATTGTTGTTGTTCTTATTGCTGTTCTTGTTGTTGTCACTGCTGTTGTTGTTGTTGTTGTTGTGGGCGCACATAAGTCACACACAAGCGTGTTCCAGTTCGGTCCTTGTGCCGCTCTACGTAGCTTATAATACAAATTACACTTTTTGGCATATTTCATTTTCATTTTGGATTTTTTTTTTGGTTTTGTTTTTCGCTCCGTCTGGCAGGGCCTAAAAACTTGTGTCTGGCAATGTTTACTGGGTTACTAGGTCCTGGTCCACAGAAACCCAAATTAATAGCGTCTAACGGCAACGGGGCGTATGGTGTAAGGTGTGGCGTATGGGCGATGTCGTCTGGTCGTTGGCTCTGTGCTTGAGGCAGCTACTGGCAGACCATTTTTACAACTATTGCTAATTTTAACGTCCTTATTGATTTTACACGCCATTCCTCAAGTTAACGCTGCGTGGCGTCATAAAAAGAGATGCCATGCCCGAAGAAGAACACAACGGACAGCTGCATTGTGATATTCTCTTTTGGTTTTTATGACGCTCGCTAAGCGAGCTGAGACAACAAGCAGACTATAAATCAAATTTCCATCAAAAATCACGTGCCAGGCAAACGCTTAGTGGGTTAATTGTTGTTGCTGCTGTGGCTGCTGCTTATTAATGAAAGCGAAAAGCACTGCTTATATAATCACGGCAAGGGCCTGGATCGTAGCCAGCTATCGGCTGGCAACAATCAAACTGTAAACTGCCACTGCGCACAGCGCGGCCGCCGATTTTCACATCAAAATTGGCACAAGTTCATCATCATCATTATTGTGAGGAGCAGAGCAGCAGCGGGGTGGGGTAGCAGCAGCGCTGATAGTAACTACTGCTTGGGGGTTGTGGGGAGGCGTGGCATGCACGTTGAAAGCTCAGAGACCGCCAGTGTGTTCAATTTATGAGCCGCAGACAGTCTGCCCTTTTTATAATCGATTGTAGTTTTTAATTAAAATTTAACTTTATAATGATTTTTTATCAGCTGCTCCTGCTCCTACTGCTGCGCCTTGTGCTGCAGCCGCCAGATCTGTTTAAGTCTAAATTAAAAAGAAATTTCTCATTTTAAGCGAAACGGCCAACAGGAAGCGGCCTCGGCGCGCAAACTGGGCGTGAGCCAGCTGGAACGTGATCGGGCAGCAGGAGCGAGCGTTTAAGCGAGCCGGCAAATAAGGATTAGTGACAGACAGCCCAACAGACAGCCCGACAAAGAGACACACAGGCATCAAAGTTTGATCGCTGGCCAACTTGGTAGGTTGATTAATGTGTGAACCAGCTCGGGCCACGTGTGCGGAAGCTGAAGCTGAGAGCGGCCCCATGAAAAAAGTGCACGCAATACTAAATAATGCTATGTGTTAAATGACTTAATGTGAAATGTGACTTACCATCGTATGTTAGTTCTGAAGGATTGAGTGATGATAAGAACTTACCATCTGCAAATAGAAACAAGAACCATAATAAATTAATGCCACTTTCAATTTAATGCACATTTTGTATTAATTAGCATTAAAAAAAGGGAGATATGAGAAAAGTCCACATAATGCAGCTAAAATAAATAAATAATTTTCAAAATTCACCAGCCTCTATTGTTTTTCTGTATTTTTTTTTTTTTTTGTTTTTCTTTGGTGTGTGCACACCTTTCACAGTGTCTACACACGCATATGTATATTTTTTGTTTTTATAACGCATTATTGTTATTAATTCGATTATTGTGCAGCATTTAATTTAATACGCTCCATGCCGCATTATGCACAATAATTATTTTAAATTCACTTTGACAAGCAGTTTTATTGACCGCTGCCTCCCACCGCACCTGCTGGCCGCGCGCTTTTGCCATTTTGCAATGTTAATTTTAATTTAATATTTTAACAATGTCTCGTGTTTTAATTTGGCTTGCGGCTTAACGTGTTTGTTGTTGCGTTGTTGTCGTTGTTATCGTGCAACAAAAATGCAAATTAACGCACAGATCTACATTTTTTTGTTGTTGTTATTTGTTTGTTTGTCTATTTGAAAATATTTATAGCTGTCATGGGTAATTTTTTCTTTTGCTTTTTCAGCTTTTTGTTAGTTTGCAGAATGTTTGTTTTGCACGCATTTCATTTCAATAAATTATTTAATTTTTATTTAAGTCTTTTTGTGCTTTTTATGCACATTTTTGCATTTTATGGCATATAAAATGGCATTTTAAGCCAATCATATGGTGCTCGTAAACCATTTGCTGTGCCAAAACAATTTTCTGAATATTAACTAGATGGAGGAATCCCTTGCTCTAAAACGCTTCTATTTAAATTTCAGTGTGTACGTTGAATAATATTCTATATAATAATAATAATAATAACAATAATTTAATATTCAAACTCAGCTTCGTATGATGTATATGGGAATACCATCCATATGTGTATATACGATATACTAATTCTTGGGACAATTCAAAGGGTATTTAGTTGTAGTTCATTTAAGCACGAGTTGTCCTTGTTTCGTCTACTATGCTGCTTCTTGCTGTTTTTTGGTTTTAGTTGTAAATAAATCAATGATAATTAACCTTCTGTAGCGCGTAGAAATAATTTTACTGTCAATGTTGTCAGCACTGACAGTCGAACATCTTAAATCATTTTGTTCCTGTTGTTCAACGTGCTGTAAAAGAGACTCGGGACTCGGAGCTGACACTGACACCGGCGACTGGCAAAAAGCAAATCGAAATGAAATTAAAAAGCGCAACAGCGACAGACACTAAACACGGTTAAATGAACAACGCGCCCCGAAAATGCCAAATGCGCAAAATAAAATGCCAATTCGCACTCGCATTCGGGCCAGAAGAAGACCGACTGAGACTGCACTGGACTGGGAACGGGAAATGTGCTCGGTACTCAGCTACGGGTGTTGGATTGGAGGTCTCGCGACAAAACACCTTTTCAAAATGCGCACAGCAAACGGGCTGCGGACAGCGGACAACGGACAACAGACAACGGACTGTGGACAGAGAGCAGCAATGGGGCCTCGATTTCTGATGCGTAGACGTCAAAAACGCCGTGGTGGCAATTAAATGCCTTCGACGCGATGCGACGCTCGTTGCCAACGCCTCAGCCTCTGCGTCAGCCGCTGCGTCAGCCTCTGTATGCCTCAGCCTCTTGGCTGCCTGTTGGCCAACTCAGTGGCGGTCACAAATAACGCCCAAATATGGCGCAATTTCATTCGCAACGCAGCGCATCGAATCGATTGCCGATGCCACCGATGCCGATTCATTTCAATTCGTTGCGTTTCGATTTATTTATCACCTGTCGTTGGAAATTGAAATTGCATTTCGCTTGGCCAACGTAGCGACTTCTTTTCGAGCTGCGTCTCCGTTTTGACTTCTTCTTGAGTCGTTTCGTGTTTCATTGTGCTCTGTTTTTTGTTTTTTTTTCCTTGCCATTGAGGCCATCGGCCCTGGTAATCATTGTCAACAATTAATGAAAGCCATTGTGGGCGTGGCTGCCTTTTAATGAACACCGCAGCACAGAGCACAGCACAGCGGCTGGCACATTCGTCTCCACTCTTAACGCTCCCTCACTAAATCTCTACCTCTCTCCCTTGGTAACTGCCCATACAAGCCAGGGCTTTTCTATTAGAACGGCCAGTGCAGAAAAAAAGAAAAGAAAAAAATCTCATCAACATAATGTAAGACTCTGCCCGGGGTGATAATGAGCTATAATGGAGTTGGCCAAGACCTGTGCAGACCTGAGCCGCGAATCTCGTGAACGCAGTTGCCTCTTAAGAGGCTCTTAATGCCGCTTAGCTTGATTTTCATTTTAGCCCTTTACTTTTCTTCCTCTTCTTTGTATTTTTTTGCATATTTAAAAGCCTGAATTCATTCGTTGATCGACTAATCAGCAGGCAGAAGGAAAGAAAGTCTAGAGCTGAGACCCAGACTCAAGTTGAATGGCTTATCAATGCACTTTGCCGTGCTACACGTAAACTTACTTTACACGCGTAAACTTTCGATAAGCGCCAAATGGAGAGAAGAGCGACAGAGATCAAGAGAGAGCAAAAACAATGGCAATGCCTGGGCCGATGCCGAAAGTCAGCCTGATAGCGCATAGAATTGATTTAAATCGTTGTACTTTGCATATTTTGTGCATTTTTTTGAGAAGGATGTGCGCCGAGTGCTGTGGATTGGCGTGATAGGCGGCCTACAAGTAGCAGCTGAAGTCGCAGTCATTAGACCGGCAATTGACCAGGCCCCAAAAGACTAAAGCAACCAAGTTTCGTGCTAGCGCGCGCTTTTACGCTTTGCTGGAGTCGAACAAGCACGAGGCGAGGACTGGGACTAAAACTTGGATATGGACTTGAGCTCGCTGTGGGTTTGGTTACTTGCTTGGTTGGCTTTGCTGTGGCACGCGGACTTTTGTTGCAGACAAAATTGTCGACAAATAGTTTACACGGGCATGAAATTGTGCTGGCCAGACATAGGGCCCAAGAATGTTGTTGATGTTGATGTTGTTGCGGTTACAGGAATGCACATAGCTCAAAGTAGTTGCAAACAAAACATTTGGATTAAATGATTGAGTGCAGCATGCAACAACAAGCAAACGTATTGGAAATGCAATAAAAATGTAGCAAGAAGAGCAAGTCAGCACCTGAGAAGCTCATAGAGCGGCGCACGAATGCTGTGTTAGCTTGAGAAGCGCAGAGAAAGGCTGGCTGACTGGGTGGCCTTTTGATTTTTCTTGGCAATATTTTGTGACTTTAAACAGGAATGTTAATTAATTTATGTGTGTGTGTGTGTGTGATAGAAAAAACACTGAGAGCTGAGAGCTGAAAACGCGTCCGGGTGCAGTCATTAATTCATATCAAAAAGGGTAATTGAAAACCGCATAAATTAAGCAAAATGCACTTTTTATGCTCGCTACTCCCGTTATTGCAAATTCATGTGTTATCCCATTGGGAATGCGCGGCTTTGACATTTGGCTGCATTATAGTTTAATCTTATTAAAATATTTATATTTATTTAAAATATGCATGCAATTTGTTAATTTAACTGCCGCTGCGTTTGCTGTTTCGCATTTATTTATGCCACGAGCTTTTTTTAATTGTCATCTTTGTCGTTTTTTTTGCTTTTGTTTTTGTGGCAGCCACTGCGCTTAATTGCATTTCGCATATGAATTAATGAATTTTTTATCAGCGCATACACATGCACCGCCTCCATCGACTCAAATATGCAATACATACCCCTGCGCAAACATCATTTATTTCATTTTGTTTTATTTTATATTATTTTTTCATGCCAACTGATAATAGAATAAAACCAAAAACAAAACAAAAAATACAAAATAATATAAATAAAAAAAAAAAAAACATGCGCCAACCGCAGCGATTTTTGTTTTCATTGAATTTATTTATTTTTTATACTGCCTACATTTAATTTCATTTGTGGTTGCCTTTGGGAAAGGGATAGCTATATGCATAATAGTGCAAAAAAGACCGCAATAGAGCTTAACGGAAACTGAACAGGCGAATCGCATAAAGAGTTATGTAATTGATGGCATATGCTAATTCAAGAGGCCAGCAACATTCTAAAACCTGTTCCAGAACATTGTTAAGCACATTGATAAATGTGTGTATTTCTCCGAATTCCCATTTTCTTATCAGGTCGCTTGATCTGCTTTCAAGAGCAAAAACGCATACAATTTATCTATTTCTATAGGAATTTTCCTCGAAAAGGGTTCATTTCGTAGCGTATGTGACACAAATTTCCTAGTTTCATTAAAACGCAATTAATATGGCTTTTCAGCACATTTATGCTATGGGCAACAGGATATCCAGTATCTTGGCTCTTTACAAAAATTAGGGTGCGTCATAATTAATAATACCCTGTGCTCGACAATTACGCACAGCGGCCAGAGCATTTCATTAACTTTACATTAAATGTGTTTGTGGGACGTTCGACACTAAAAAGGCAACGCAATGCAAGTGCACAGAGCCAAAACACTCAAGCACACGTGTAAGCAACAACGACAACCAAACAACAACAAAGGTAAGTCTACTACACACACATGCATGCAAGTTCGAAGGTATGTGCCTGTACATATAACTCAATCCATTAACGTTTTGATAAAGGATCTTTATGACGACACTCCAAGCGACGGCAGCAATCATCATCAGTATCAGCAACAACAACAGAAATTGCTTTGGTACGTGTCAGTTGGTAAGAAAACACACACACACACACACACCCACTGACACACAGAGACACACACAACACACACATCAAGTGAAAAGTAATTGCGTTTAAATGCGTTTACATTAAGCCAAAATGCAGGCCGAGCCAAGTCGGACAGTTTGGACAGTCGCTTGGCCTAATTGCAGTACGGGATATCCATGTCGGTGTGTTTGTGTGTGCGTGCGTGTATCTATCAAGGACAATTATTATTACACTTGTAATGTGACCATTAATGGCATTATTAATGCAAACGTTCACATTCACAGCTCCCAAGAAACATTCAGTGGGCTATAGGCAATTTCCGGGCCAGTGGCTGGCGTTAAGCCGTTGCATCGATAAATCTATATCGTTGTATATATCTGTCTCTATCTATTTATCTATCTACTGACGGCGACTTTACGACATGCAAAGCCAAAGCTAAACACTTTATCTTCCCTCTCTACCGCACTGCCCGCCGTTCGGGGGGATGTTCAGTTGGTTTCGGTTTACGACTTTTTAATAGTTCTCACATATTTTTTTTTATAGATTTTTCTACGCCCGCTTTCTTGTGGTCTTCCCATACAGCTCCACTCTCTATGCAGCGCTTCGAGGAAATTATTTGTTGTTGTTGTTATTTTGGCCAGCACATAAAATTGATTTCCTTTTGCCAGCCGAGATCCCGGGCGTTTGGGCGTTCGAGCGTTTACTCTTTCGCCTGTCATAAAATTTATGTTTATGTCGTAAAATTTAGTTCGATTTTTGTGGTTGTTTCTGCTGCATGCCTTTTGATTTCATTGCTTGTCATTGCAGCGCACTAAAACCAATCGCTCCCTCTCACCTGCATGCTCGCGCTGTCTCTCTCTCTCACTCGCACTCAGTCAACGCGTCGACCACATCAGGTGTTGTAAAGGGTTTGTATTTCGCACAAACAACGCTGCGTATTCGCAACCTCACCAATACACAAAGAAAAAACAAGAATCTCCCGAAAAAAAGTGTCGCTTGCTGATATAAACAAACGACAGACATTTGTTTTTATTACACACCTTTTTGGGGCTTTCTCTTGGCGGGAGCACGTCAAGAGGGGCGGGCGGTAGTAGATTCTAGTTATTTTAATGCACATTTTGTAGGCAATTCCAAATTAGGCAATGTTTGGCAATACTTGGCCCCGGATCTCGTCTTCCGGATCTGGCCCTTTTATATGGGCCAAGTACTTAATGTTTGTTGCTGCTGTGCACATCATCAAGGTGAGCTGGGCGGAGGCAGATTGGAGTTGGCGGGTTTGTCGGGTGGTTGGTTTTTCCCTGACTGTGTGCCTGGCTGCCGTTCAGCCTGCCCGCCTTTCAGCCAGCTTGATGCTGTCGTACTTATAAAAAAGTAATTTTCTCATTTCTGGTTCTCTTCGAGGCTTTTTGTATATTAGAAGGAATGGCTTTATTTATTTCTTATATGTAAGTGGCGGCAAAAGTTTTTCCCTGCCATTTTCTGCGTTTGGTTATTTTCCTTTTCATTTTTTTTTTTGCTCGGGCGCCGTTAAATTGGCAAGTTTGTTGTGCTAAGTTTTGGGTCTCGCTGCTGGAGCACATAAATTAGAGGCACAAATTAGAAATTATGTGCGCATTTAAATGTGAAGAGGAGCTCCAGCTTTAGTCGGTTAGTCAGTTCAGTTCCATATGTTGGCTCGGGCCCTGTCCTCTACTAATGAAATGGCTGCGTGCCTGCGCCTGTGCCTGTGCCTATGCCAGTGCGTGGCCCTCGGCCTCGGCCTCGGCCTTTTACTCAAACTCAATGAATATTTGAAGAGGCAGCAAACAGCAGCCAGCAGCCAGCAACCAAAAAGAAAAAACCAAACAAAATGAAACTTTTGCCACGGCGCCATTTGGCGCTACAAAAGATATTTTTCCATTGAAAGCATTGCGGGCAAAAGTTGTTTAAATTTAGCAACCGACACATGTGTGTACAG